ATCATCACATACATGTCGCAATCATATTTGTTACAAAATTTGAATACCACACATGTAAATTATGAAACCTGCATACATTAAGCTTTCTATTTATGATAACATATTATACTCATTCACTTGCTCATTCATCTTATGCTCCATAAATTTGAAATTTTTCAAGGGGCGGTTTCCTAGAGATCCACATGCTTCTACCCAATTGCGTTTCTTATTATAACTATCTAATATTTTCATCTGCATTAAAAAATATGAAGTTATGATTCAAATAAATTATGCATTATAATTAACATAATTTCCTTTCATACATATCAATCTCTTAGTATCATTCAGTCTCTGTTTAGCTATTTCAGATGTAAACAAACTATCATATAATGTTACAACACGATCTACCATATCCAACACCAACAGATACCAATGTGAATTATGGTAGTTTATTGTGATCATGATCTGCAACAAATTTCACACCTAATTTGACAAAATTCAACATTCTATATCTGAAAACATCATTTGCAATTCATATGGTGTCTTACCTTCTCACGGTCGGTGAATTTCACATAGTTACCCAATATGGGACCCCAAAAGCTAGCAATATCCTCAACCCTTACTTTGTTGTTGGCATTCAACGCATGTTGCTGTAATTACGCGACAATCATTATTAATTTACCGTCTATAACACTACTTTTCAACATTTATTAATTTAACTCACCGCTAAGTGGTATGGAAGGTAGTCAATCCTCCGGAGTGACTTTTTCGAATCGTAGCATACTGTCCATGCGAGCAAATCAATAACCTAACAAAATTAATTACACAATCAGAACATATTCAATAGGTTTTAACATTTTGTACTTTCTACTTGCCACACCGTCTACCCATTCCGTAGGCTTCAAGTTGCAACGTCGGATACACTAGCGAATTGATTTCCCATTGAGATTACAGAACATCTGTATGAATAATTAGGATTAATATCTTTATCATGAAATATTTAAATATCACTCACAAAGCAATATATTTCACTTTCCTGATTCTAACCCACTATTCCATAAATAATCACAAATTGCAGTTTTGAAGTCATCAATTCAGCTTGGAATATCCGTTTTTTCAACCTACAATTTTGCATACAAATTTTTGTCACAATAACATGATAAAGATCAAATTAAGTTTTCTTTTATTCAACTGACCTTCTACTTCTTCTTCTGGGGTGCAGGATATTCCGAATCCAAATCTGCATCTATAACACTCTCCGGTGTATAGATCACATCGACATCCTTCCTCCTCATTTCCTCCATATTTTCTTCTTCCTCCATCTTTTTTTCTTCCTCCATCTTTTCTTCTTCATATTTTTTCAGTTCATCATATTTTTGCTCTACATAGCTCTTTATCTCTTTTATTTCACCCTTTAATTTTCCCCTTCATCCAAGTAATCATCAACCACCCCCTTCACTCCCGTAAGTTCAGTTCTCATTTCCACAACCTCCTTCACCACTCCATCAATTTTTTCTCCCTTCACCGTCTTAAGTTCACCACTCAACTTCTTTCACCAATCCATCTATTTTTCCTTCCACTTCCCCTTTATGCATCTCAAGTGTCTCTTCGACTCTCTCAAGTTTCTCTTCGACTCTTGATTGTTTGAGAAGGAGGTCAAATTGGATTTTTTATATCATCCAATTCAGACATCAAAATGTCGAATTTACTCTGTTTTCCCTCACCTTCATCCCCCTCACCGTCATCTCTTCTTTCTTCTCCTCTGCCTCCTCTACCTCCTTGCCAATAACCTTTAAAATTAAATTACAATATTAAGACATTGATTATATTCTTAATATTATTTAATTACATTTATTACCCTTTCTTGCTTTCTCGGTTTATCCAACTTCAACTTCGCCATCACTTTAACCACCTCTTTCTTCCCCCATGAACGGATGCGTGCCATTCCGGTTATTTCATAAGTCGGCACTGCCTCACAGCCCGACCAAAAATTGAACAGTGCAACCTGTATTTATAATAAAAATTTTATATAATAACTATACTATCATTTTATATAAAAAAAATTCTTCAACTCATTTACCTCTAATATTGTTATGCACCCTTTGAGGTTTCTCTGGCTGCCCTTTTTAAAGGTGATTATTGATTCAATCAATCTCGAATGGACATATTCATCCCAATTGAATTCACCCTTCAAGCCTTCATCGCAAATGAGTTTCATATAGTCCTTGTTCATTGACGTATCACCCGTTGGACAAAGAAAGATCCCGATAAGGTACAATAGAACTCAGGCCTTCAGCTCATCCCCCCCGTAAGATCCACTTTTGATTTCCTCTTCAAGTTCAGCATATGTCACCTTCTGCTTCAAACCATATTTGGAGGCAAGTGCTTTCCAGATCTTACTCTTAGAGACTTTTACAGCACTTTTGCCTTCATTTCCTACCCCAAGACAGCTGCAGCAGATGGGAACCCCAGAGAAAATGAAAAATCACCATATTTAGCAATACATTGTTCGACATCAAATTGCGCCATCAAGGATCGACATAATTCTCTCTGAATAGGTCGATCCCTTACTCCTACCAACAATTCAAACCCCATTTCTCCCAGCACATTCAACTGACCCTTCTCCTTAAGGTGTTTAATTAATGAATTCACCCTTTTAATGCTGCACCTTGTCGACACTTCCTACATTTTTTAACAATATATAATGTTATAGTTCTTATATATTTTGTATCAACGTATTTACAAGTTTAATGAATATCTTCTTTTCATGTGCTTTCCTCCATTCTTTGTATTCTTCACTATCCATCTTTGACTGTGCGATGTAAGGTTCCTTATCAGCATCACTCATCGAATTCTATTTCTCTAACACATCATTTCTCACCTAATATTAAGCATAAACCTAAATAATACTCAATGTCAATTTCAATTTACATACCGAACCGATGTGTTCGCCATCTTCCTTCATCATTTGGCATTCGGTCATACTGTCAACATTTAAAATTTGTAATCAATTTAAAGTTCTTAAATACTTTAATTCAATTACCATTTCAACAATAATAACAAAAAGACGTTGATACTTACTAGAAGTACGTATATCCACCCTTTGGTTGCTTTCGAGTCTCGGCCTCAATTTCAAAGTCATCTACGCCACCAACAATTTTTCCACCCATTGACTCCATTTTTTCTTCATATATCAGTTTACGCAAATCAAATCAAATACTTGTTACATACACTTTATTCAATATACCAATATAGATAACTACTCTTGTGGTAAAACAGTTTTCTTCAAAAGAATTTGAATGGTCACTACAAAATGTGTCGGCACATTTATACAACCTAAAATATCATTTTCTACCTATAATATTATATACAGGTATCCATATTTATTTTCTACCTATAATATTATATAATCGGTCCCAAATCTTTCTTGGCTTCGATTCGAAATCCCCCAAACCAAACCTAAAAACCCTAATCCCTATTTCTTCAAACAAATGAGAACACTCGATACTCTAAGTTTCGACACATTTATACAACCTATAATATCATTTTCTACCTATAATATTTAATAAAAGTATTGATATTGATATTTTACTTAGAATATCACTTTCTACCTGTAATTGGTCTCAAATGCTTCTTTACTCCAAAACCTCAAACAACATAAAAACCCTATTTTCGATTACTGTAATAATAAAAACTAGGGTTTCGACAACGTACTTTTCGATTCGACTGCAGCAACAAATAAACAAACTTCACTTTAGAAACGCCTTCTGAAATGCAGCAACAATTACGCTTCGATTTCAAAAACTCATCCGTTCTATCTATTTTTCAGAGGATATTTAACTATGCCCTTTATATTTTCACCGGATATGTTATTTATATTTAATCGATACAACTACCAAAGTGTCGATACTTTTATGTCAGGTGTCAATACTTTCGATAGTATAATTACATATTTCTTTGAAAGTATCGATAGTTTATTAGGCGTACTTATTAAAGTGTCGACACTTTCAATATTTCTGGTAGCGCTCTACCGGTTTTGTCATTTCGAGATCGGTTTTTTCATATTTTTACCTGTTATATCGTTATGGATCGATACATTTTTATAAAGTATCGACACTTTATAGGCGCTAAAACTGCTTCTCTTTTAAATTCACAAAGTGTCGATACTTATATTAAAGTATCGACACTTTCAATATATTCGGTCGCTCTATACTGGTTTTGTCCTTTAGAGACCAATTTTGTCATATTTTTACCTGTTATATCGTTGTGGATCGATACATTGTTATAAAGTATCGACACTTTATAGACGCTAAAACTGCTTCTCTTTTAAATTCACAAAGTGTCGATACTTATATTAAAATATCGACATTTTCAATATATCTGGTCGCTCTATACCGATTTTGCTCTTTAGAAACCGATTTTGTCATATTTTTACCTGTTATATCGTTGTGGATCGATATATTGTTATAAAGTATCGACACTTTATAGGCGCTAAAACTGCTTCTCTTTTATATTCACAAAGTGTCGATACTTATATTAAAGTATCGTCACTTTCAATATATCTGGTACCGCTTTATCGGTTTTGTCTTTTCGAGACCGGTTTTGTCATATTTTTACCTGTTATATTGATGTGGATCGATACAGTTTTATAAAGTATCGACATAAACCGACAAGCTAAGTTTGCCGGTTGCCAAATTTTTTAATATTTCTTCATGATTTAGACTACTACATTATTATTACTCAACTTTTCCGGTAGCGTTAAACCGAATTTGTTAAATATCTTTTGATGTATCCAGTAACACTGTATATTAGGCCGTCTTTCCTGAGACAATCCCTTAATCATAGTGCACCTTTAGGTAATTTAATTGAGAACCGGACCGGTTTAGGTTCAATGGTCCAGCCGTCCAGGTGAGACAAAAGACGCAAAATGCTCTTTGGGTATCGAAAACCAAAATTAGGTCAATCCGGTTTTCCTACTGGACCGCTTCGTATACAAAATCCCCCGAACCGTATCCTCGTTTCGCATCGTCTCTTTACCCCTCTTTCTAGATCCCCAAATTACCCTGAAAATCGATCTCGGATTTTCTCGTCGTTCTTAATCCAATCTGTAAATCTAGTAAGGATCTATTCGATTCTCCTTATTTCCTTTTGATTGATATATCTTTCTGTCGCAGCCGTTAAATTCACGCTTCTTTAGGGTTAGGGTTCTTCGATCTCCTCGATCGAGCCCTTTTTACTAATTGATCTCTCATGATTTTTCGTTTTATCTTTGGTTTGTGTTGATTTCCCATGTTTATTCCGTCTAATTTTGTCTTATTATTCGTGATTTGTTTATTAGGGTTTAGGTTTGTTCGATTCGTTAGGGTTCGTTTCTATCTACGAATTCATAGAGGGTTTCGGTGTTTTAAGTGGCTGCAAGATTGTTACGGGAGTTTTGTGCCCCCAATTTGTCGCATCCTGGGCTAATTGGGAATTTAGGGTTAGGGTTTTCTTGTAAATTTAGGGATCCTATTGGTAGTTAAATTAATTAGGGAAAATGTCTCTTAGCATAGTTCAATAAATTTTAATGTCTAATTAAGTGCTATCATCGTCTCAATTGCTTTAATTGATATTCATTTTTCTCAGCTCCATTAAAGTTTTAATTCATCAGAGTTTAGAAGCAATTGACTTTCACCTAACTTAAAATTCATTGTTTTCGTTATTATTAAGTGGTTAATATGTTAACTGTTACCTTTTATCATTCAATTACTATTTTTTGAACTTATTAACCTTTTCAGTTTACCATGCAAAGCCAAACAAGTTTATTAAAATGGTTAAGATACTGTTCTATTGAGTATTGGTGTGTGCATCATAGTTAATATCAGTAGCATGATGCTTCCGAGCTCTGTCATTTCATATTTTTGCTTAGTCTAAATTAGTTTCGGGCTAATTATATTTTTATTGCTTGTGTTAAGTTTTCTTTGACATATGCTTGTCGATCCTTCATTTTTTCTGCTATTGCCTTTATTTTTCTGTCTTACTGTGTCAGTATGTTTTTGCTGTATACTCTGTGATCGAAGTGCAGCTATATGTTATCTCTTCTTTTTATCTTCTCTTCGTAATTAACATTTTTGTCCCTCAGGTTGTAAATGGGATTCAAAAGACCTTTTGACAATGAGGAGCTGCAGGAACTTCCTTTCAAGCATCAAAGACAGTTTGACAATAACAAAAAGCTAACTCAGTTAGCTGATAATATTCCCCTTAGTCATACTCATCAGAATCCTCATATTTCAGGTAACGTCTTTTCTGACTTTTCTGCTTGCTTTTATGCGAATGGTTCTTTTTTTGTTGTATGGTTTTTTCATTGATGTGATCTTCCTCTTTTTGACAGTTGGAACTGAGGGTGGATTTCGTAAATACCAATGGGATGAAGAATTTGAAACTGATGGTCTTAATGGTGCTGGATGTTTGGTTGATAAGGATTTTGAGACTAGTGCTCCCTTGTCTTTGATCGCTAGCATTTCCAGTGAGGAAGACACTGATACTGGGGCAGCAGCTATTTCACCTGTTTCTCCAGAATATTTTGACTTCGATTTCCCAAGAAGAACGTTGGGCCCTGTTGGTGATTCCTATTCTTTGTTGTTGGATCGGTCTCCTCGAAAACAAGTTCCACTTGGGCCAAATCATCAAGCCAATCTTCCTTTGTTTGGTAGGCACATAAAGAAGGATAAGTTTGTTCAAAATGGTGCATCAGACACCCATGATATTGACTATGAAGAGATTATGATGGGAACATGCATCATTCCAATGCCTGCCTCAGATTTTTCCGCAAACAACAGTGGAAAAGTTGGTGCTGGCAGAACAGACTGTGGTTGCCTGGATAGGGGCTCATTTAGATGTGTGCGACAGCATGTCATGGAATCACGGGAAAAACTACGAAAATCCCTTGGGCATGAAAAATTTGTGAAGCTGGGGTTTTATGACATGGGAGAGGATGTTGCATATAAATGGAGTGAAGAAGATGAAGAGTTATTTCGTGAGGTTGTTTTCACTAATCCTGCTTCTTTGGGTAGGAAGTTTTGGAAGCAGTTGTCAGTGGTTTTCCCATTAAGATCAAAGAGGGAGCTTGTCAGCTATTATTTCAATGTCTTTATCCTTCAGAGACGAGCTGTTCAGAACCGATCCAGTGTTCTGGAAATTGACAGTGATGATGATGAGTTCCATGGGAGTCAACGGGCTTATGGAGTTAAAGTTTCAGAGAAAGATGAAGTCTTTTCTGCTATTGAGTCTCTTGTTGATCAGGAAGGTCTGTCAAACCATGATGATGATGACAATGGCAGTGACGACGACGACGATGATAGTGGTGACTCTGATAGTGATAGTGGGGATGGAAATTATAGCATTGCTGCAGACAGAGGGGATTATGGTGTAAATCTTTTGTTAAAAGGTCACGATGCAAAATCATTGGATGAGAGTAGGTTCAATGCTGTTTTTGAACAAACAAACAAAGTTTCTGGACAAGTAGAGGATTTCAATGCTCAAGATGACTCGTGTATGTCTTTTGAGTTTCAGCCGAACATGGTCGATTCTCGTAGTCTGATTGAAACAAAGGCTGATTTGCACAATAGAGAAATGAAGACCGACCTTAGCAAGTGTATGCAGACTAAAGTAGATGGGCCTAGTGATCTGGTGAGCCATGTCTATTTATTGGATACCTGTGATGCAAAAATCTGGGATGCCCGGTATCCTACGACAGCTACTAAAGGTATTGATCTCCAGCCTACATGCAACATTATTGAAGAGATTTTTGGAAAAGATACATGGGATAACAAGACGAGAAATGAATAAGTATCGAATGATGGCTCTCGGAATGTCTGAATCTTGTCCTTAGAAGAGGCTAAGACTTTTGGTTTTGACTATTTATTTTTCTCATAAGTTCATTTAGCAAATGTATTTTGCTTCAACATGTTAAAAAGTGCTGTTAATGAGATCTTTCCTGCTTTTGTAAATGACACAGCAGTGAAGCACTCTATTTTTCTCTTTTTACAGCATGCAGGTAGTCCTTTTCTAATTATATGAAGCTGAAACATGTGTCGAATCTTTTTGTGGGAAAAGTTGCAGGTAATCCATGAATGGTATCGACTTGTATATAATTATTTTTAATACCTTATATATTCATGGATCTTGTTTGTACAACTGATTTATTAACAAAATTATATGTATATGTTAGCTTTCATGTTTTTATAAAGTTGGGAATGCTTCATCATTCATGTGTGTTGCGGTTGCAAGGATTTTCCGGGTTGGATACGTGTCTACCCTAAAATCCAAATTTTTTTAGGTTAACTGTTTATTTTGTTGATGTTATTCACTCTGAAATTTTAGTTGTACTTATCCCATAAAAAAAAGAAAAAAATATTATTAATATATACACGTCCACTCTAAAAAATATTTTTAGATCCGTAATTATATGTACTGTGATCTTGTTTTCATATTATTGCCTTGCTTCTTGTGAAATAAACTAATTTCATCGTACATGCATGGCTTGGTTTGAACAAAAAGAAGGAAAATTCATTTACTTTTTATATGAATTGTCACTCATCCTTTTAGTTTCAAATTCAATTTTTTTTAGTTTTTTTTTATAATAATTCAAGTAACATTTATTTTGTATGTGTTAATACTTGTGTCAAACAAGACGTAAATATAAGTTAGATTAGGTTGAATCAAAGCCTTGGTACCAAACTTCACTTTTACATCTAATTTCATCCGAATCGATAACCTATTTTATTATTTAAATTAATTAATTATTATATATAAAAATATTATTTATATTGTAATTAGAGGTTCAAGACTACTCTTCAAATATTAATTTATGAAGAATATATCGATGATTAGGCATTGGATCCCTTTACAAGAGGTCTTATATTTGAATTTCATCCCATTCTGGGTCATTCTTTATTTAAATAAGATGGTAACACATGTGATCACCATATTGAATGACATTAATTTATTATAATAAAAAATGATACATGGATATGTTACTCAATTGTCATTGACATGTGGACATGCTAAATCATCTACGGTTGATGATTTAATGACCCAATGACTAAAATAAAATTTTCCTTAATGGTAATGATTACGATGAAAGTTTTTCGGTTTCGATAAACAAAATCTATAATAAAAGCTTTTCGATTTTGATGACGAAAATGAAAGTATCCTATAAGTTTAGTGATTATTACTAGATTTTACCCATAAAATTAAGGAGCATTATTAGATAAAAGAGTAAATTACAAATTTACTCACTAAACTTTATTCTTTCTCATATTTCACTCATTATACTTTTAGTTATTTCAATTTAATCACTGAACTTTATACATTGATTTTTTTTTTACCATTCAGCCATTAACTTTCTGACGACGACTAATATATGTGACAATAAACACCATAACAACATAGTTTTGGTTTAAATAATTTTTTTTTCATTTTTTTCCTTCATTTTTTTCTTCTTCTTCCTCTCATTTTCTCTCTTCAACTTCCATGAATCCAAATTCCGGTCATCACGCCGGCTGCTACGCTGACCACTACTGGCAACCTTTGCTGGAAACCAGAAAGAATTTGAACATCGACATAACAAAAGATAAAGAAAAGAAATGACCATCGTGTCGAAACAATTTTGTTTATTTTATTTTAAAAACCCACAATATTTAATTTTTGACTTTTTAATTAAAGAATGTGATTTAAAAATTGTCTTGAATAATTTGGGGTTCCCTTTTTAAAAATAAAATAAAGTATAGTTCGAGGAGTCGCCGCTAATAATTGATTAAGGTGTGATTAGGCACCCAAAATGTTATGTCATTTTAATAAGATTTAATTTTTTTAAATGATTAAAACAACGTTTTAAGGTCTGCACGCCAAAAAATTGAGTTTGGGAGTCAGTTATGTGTGGGGAAGGATTAGCATCCCCACAGCGCCCTAAATCCTAAATCGGTACCTAATCGATGAATTAATTGTCTCTGCAATGAAATCTACAAGTTCGAATTTAATTTAGTTTAAGATCCCTTCAAATCATACTCTTTGAATTTTAGAATGAAACATAATAATATTTAATTATTTTCTATAAAGAAGAAGCGATCTCTCATACATTGAGGCAATCGATTCTTACTCCAATCAAAATAAAAAAATATTACAGTTCCTTTCAAAAATTCGTTACCAATTCGAATGCATGAATGATAATAAAATAAAACAAGTTAAATTAAAAATTACCAATCTTTTTAGAAAGAAAAATGATATTTGATTATTTAAAGACGTCGAGATCGAACCTTTTATAAGATCTAACGATTTTTTCCTGAGGAGTTTTAATAAACGAACATTTCTTTTTCTCTCATTCCCTAAATTTTAGGCGTGGTCAAATTTTAGGGTTTCACTTGACGAGATACACATTCGTTTTAAAATCATCAGAAGTAATTTGCTTATAAGTTAAGACAATCACTTCACAACAACCTTAGAATGAAAGGATATTACCCTTAATCTAATTATTTGAATTAAATCGAGTTACACTCGTGAGTATATCATACATATCATGCAAAAATAATGTCATGTGATTCGTAAATAGATCATTCGCATACTCATACATATATAAACATATTAACATGCATAACAAATATATACAACTAATTAAAGAAGACAACTACCTAACAAGGGACTAAATTAAAAGAAATCTAAATGTAAGGACTAAATCTAAAAGATAAAGTAATCTAAATATGCTAAAATCAAAAAATACATATTAAAATTAATAATCATGAATAAAACTTTAACAAACTAATTAGTAAAAAGGTTAATCAATAATATAATTGATCTAAGGAGTAAAATATAACAAAAACAACAAATCAGGGATAAAAAATTAAAACATAAACATTTAGACAAGGGACTAAATTAAAACTAATAGAATATTTTAGGGACCTCATTTTAATACAAAGAAATAATTCAGCATGGTGACCAAATTAGCATAAATCAAAATTAATCATAAATAAATTAGAAATATAAAGGACCAGCATATGAAAATACGCCTAAATTAGAAGGACTAGAGCACAATTATTCACTTTTTTATAAACCTAAAATTTATTAACAACTACAAATTGTGAAATTACAAAATCAGTATTTTATTATTGAAATAAATGCGAAAATAACATTACAGGTGACCAGAAAGCAAATAAGCGCTAAAATGAAACCCAAACCCCCTGAAAAAGCAAAACTCCTTTCTCCGACAACCAGAGACTGTGGTAGGGCTAAACCAGGACCCCGATCTAAACAAAACCTCGAGCTTTTTTTCGTCTAACCCTAAAATCAAAGGCATATGAGCTAAATCGACCTATCCTAATCGACAATATGGAACTTTCAACCCCCGAACTCAGACGATAAGGCTTCCACCATTCTCCACCGACGATGAACCCTAGATGACTAAGGTAAAATCTCCTCCCTCTCTTTTTTGCTTCCATACCCCCTTTCCCCTACTCTATTTCAAAATAAAAATAAAAAACAAAACGAAATGAAAACTTCTCAAAGAAAAAGGGAATCGAAGAGAGGAACCTTGAAAAAAATGCTTTTTCTTCTATTGCTTTCTCCATCTATTCTTGCATTGTGTTTCTGTTGAGTTACTTACACCCGATTACCAGAAAATGTGAAAAAAAATGTAAAATCGATTTTCTAATTTATTGTCTTCTTTCGACTTGCATGGGCTTGATTTGTGAGATGTAGCTGATCTGAGGGCCGAAAATCCCTCACCATCAGATTCTGGCATTTTGGTACCAAGATGCGTTTCGTCCTCCGTCATGGCAGAGTGTATAAACGGCAGGAGCACAGGGGTGTGTGGGGACCCGACTCACGACTGTGTCGCTGTCGGATATGATGCTGACAATGCGTGGGAAGTTCTGGGGACCGCGTGTGCATCTCACATGTTCCAGATCGACGGTCAATCTGCTTGGGGTCATGCCTCGGATCCAACGGTTGGGCTTCGAAGGAGGCGTTGGCAGCTAGAGTTTCATAAGCCCTAAATTTTGTGCTTTGATATGAACCGTTGAATATGCTTGAGCAAGATCAAATGGTGGAGAAGCAGCTGCCCACATGATATCTAGGTTTTCAAATACCCTAATATGATTTGGGTCTTCATACGGGCCTACCTACACGGGTTTGGGTCATTTGGTATGGGCTTAAATATTTTTGGTGGGGTAAACGGGTTTTGGGGTTGTATTTGGGTAGTAGGTTAAGGTTTAATGGTCTTGGGTACATGTAAATGGGCTGTGATGTCACATGTAATGGGTGAAGGGTTAAATGGGTTTTACTTTTGTATTGCACTTGTAAATGGATATTTTAATTTTGGATTTGTATTTGATATCCAATGATGAAACTTTAATTCGAATCTAAATTTGGGCCTCGAATATGATCACCAAACTCCACAGATTACGATTTAAGCCAAGACTTGAATTTGTCGCCAAATTTATGAGCCAACTCCCACTCACCCCTACCCATGTCACTTGAATCGAATTATTTCTCGAAACACTTGCAATTTTAAATTGGTCCTTGAATGTCTTCGATTTGACATGGGATGTTCGGACAAAATTAGGGTATTACACATCGTCCATTAAAATATTTGTTTCATCTTCAACTAGAAAGTCGACAAAAGATTAATCTTTTAGCACTGTTGAAAACTAAAACATTTGATTTTGGTTGCTCCATTTTTAGTTAGTGGCAAAGTCACTTAAACACCCAATATCTCTTCCATTTTTTTTTTCATTTCTTCTACTTCGTTTCAACCCCTAAACTTCAATTTGTTTTTTCTTTTTCTTTTTAATGTTGTAGTATTAAGAAAAATCGAAACTTTGAGCTGAATTCTCTAAGAGATTCTTTTTCTACAATCTTAATTCCCAAAACTTCCTCTTCTATGGTTTTCCCCCCCTTTTTCTGTGGGTTAATCAAAGAAAGAAATTGTAACTTTTTATTGTTTGAGAAGCAAAGTTAAAAGTTCCATAATTGTTGGGTTATCTATGGCTTATGTTCTGTTTGCAGCCACTGGTTTGGGCTCAGTGGCTCGGGTGAAGTCTCCAAGGCTCTTTGTGAAATCTT